TCGTACCACTAAGCGACCAAACGTTAGACTACGTTTGGTCAACATGCGGAGTCCAATGTCAAATCATACATCCTCAACTCAGTCTCATCCAATGACTTAACATCTTCAGCCTTTGCTCGTGCCAGTCCGGCTGCATCTTCTCAATCTTTTCATTGGGGAAAGTCCAGAGGAGTGTGTTTGTGTGTGAACCCCATTCCCTCCATAGATAAAGATGCAGCAGCTTCATTTCATGTCCAAGTTGGCGGTGGTCGGTAATTGTTCACCACTTACAATTTATACAAAAACTGGCAATTTTTTCCTGTGTGCACTGTCCATTTCACCTTCAATATCAAAGACATCAAGGAGGTGTACCATATTGATCCTAAAACTACTTTGGTATAGTAATAATATTAATTGTGATATTAACTCCAAGTAGTTTAGAGTTGTTAGTTGTGCTTAATCTTTTTCACTCCAAATAAATTCTGTCGTACTTTTCTCAAAAACACTCATAAAAAAATACATACGGCAAACTCCCAAAAAGTTGCAAGTGTTACTAGGGGGAGGGACATGGATGGCCCGTGACATGGATGTTTGAGGTCTGGTTTCGTCAAAAGTACAAATACAAAGGTTTTAAAAAATAGCTTCGGAATCGGATCTTCAGCCAATAGGGAGATGAGGAATAGGAATGAATGCACCAGGTGTGTTCTTTGTTGTAGGTGTCGTTGAGTTTTTGTGTGATTGGGGATCCTTACCTGCAACAACAAGTAAAAGACAAATGTTCAAACTGTAGTTCATGATTTTTCTTGATTAATCTCCAGAACAAAGCAGGGGATACATGAAGTGAGTGAGGGTGAGACAAGGGTAATCATGAAGAGGATAAAGAAAGCAATGGGTAAAGAAAAGGGTGGTATAGTTGTAGAGTGCAAAACTACTGAGAGGTTAGAACCTGAAAGTATAATTTCAGCGTACCTGGCTAACGCTGCAAGGTTGCTGGGAAGTTAGCTGGGTACCCAGTTGTGGGCAGAGCTCTGCGTGGTTGCAGGGCCAGAGTAGCTTTGCCCACCTGGCATTATGGGGTCGAAGTTGAAATCGATGCCCTCTCCATCCATGAGGTCGCTGTTGATGATGTAGTCTACGTCACAGTCCAAGTTCTCTGTGAACATCTCGATGTCCAAGTCAGTGGGCAAGCGGTCTTGACTTGGTAGGAAGCAGCTTGGCGTTCCGAACTGGCCCATCCCTGGTTAGACCTCCTCCTATATTGGCGGAGAGGCCTCCTCTGTGGTGAGGCCCCATACCTGGCAGCTGTGCATGCTGAGCTTTGAGGGCTGAGAGCTGTGGAGAGTCCTGGGCCATTCCTGACAGGATCATGCCCAGGCCCAGCTGAGAGTGCTGCTGTTGCTGCTGCTGGGACTGGGACTGCATCCTCATGGGTGCCACAGTGTTGGGCTCAAGCCCCTTCCCCAGCAACAGCTGGTTGGGCTTGGGTCGCACTCCCACCATGGGCCCCCCCATGCCCATCATCCCCACTCCACCAGGACTGGGCATAAGCGGGTCCACCTGGGTCATCATGAAATCACTGGGAGGTGGGGAGTCCGAGGTGAGCAACGCCTCCAAGCTGGAGCGAACATGGGTGCCATAGAGACCAGTCCCACGGGAGCCAGGACTGGGCATGGGGTTAAAGAGAGAGTTGCCATAGTTTGAGGGTTTGGAGTTGTTATTGTTGCCACATTGTGTGCCTGATGACTGTCCCCCGGTCTGGTTGGGGGCCTGGGAGAGGTTGGATGGCTGCAGCTGACGGAAGGAGGGGAACCCAGAGCCCCGGGGCAGCAGTGTGGAAGCAGAGGGCAGAGGGGTAGGGGGGCGCCGGTGGGGCCGTGCTGGGACTAGCCCCTCCCTGCTGCTCGGTCATCAGCGTCAGGCCATCGATCAGGTCCAGCTCCTCCATTAGTGTCTCGGTGAGGGTGGGGGGCAGGTTGCCCGTGGAGTAGCCCAGTAGACTTTCCTCAGGTAGGTCATCCTCATCCTCCTGGCCGGGACCGATGGGGGACAGCCGGCCACTCAGGGTGCTGGCGTTGGAGCTGGTGCGTGGACGGAAGCTGGTCCACATGTCAGGGTCGTCTAGGCTACCACGGGATGAGGGGCTGCCGCTGTTCACCCCCCATTTGGGGAACTGCTGCGAGGAGTTGGGACTGTCTGCGCCCCCATCGCCATCTCCCCCAGTGGTCCCGCCCAAGCCTGCGGCTGCCTTCTTGGTCTGCTTGGCTCGCATCCGGCTCTTCAGCAGTTTGCTGCTGTTATCCATGGAGGCAGCACGGCGACGGGGTGCTTTCCCAGTCTTGCCCCCCTCTGGGTTGAGCATCCACCAGGAACTCTTGCCTGTGGACTCATTGTGAACTCTCAGGAACTTGTTGTGGAGTGATAAGTTGTGGCGAATTGAATTCTGAGTTAGAGGGAAGGGGGGAAGAATAAGGGTTTTGTTTAAGATTGTTGTAATTTAGGAAAACATTCAACTTGGTTTGAAAATAGATTTCAAGCAATTACTTCCATTATTCACTAATTAATGCAGTGTAATAATGTATCATGTGTTCACATCAAATGGGTCTGTATAATATGGTTCTAACAATGTGAATAACAATAAGCATGTTTGTTTACCTTCCACCCTGCTGAGCTGTTGCTATCTCCTTTATCATTGAAGTAAGGCACGGTTTTCACCATCCAGTCATATATCTGCGCCAAGGTTAGACGCTTCTCTGGAGAGTTCTCAATAGCCTGACTAATCAGGTCCGCGTAGGACTGGTTCCCCCATGCATTGCGCCGGGATGATCCCTTTCGGGGCGTGGCTCCACCTACTCCGGCTACGACTCCTCCCTCTGTGACCACAACTTTCTCAGGCTCGGATATGATTTGCTGTTGCTCCTGCTTATCATCGTCGGCGGGCGGGGTTCCCGCAGAGGATTCAGGGCCGTCGGCCCCCTCCGGTTTGACAGCTGAGATGTCGGGTCTGGGGAGCGGCCATGTGCATGACCTAGGTCTGCTTTGCGGCTCAAAATCTGGGTCAATCGTGGGTACTGTCGAATCCTCCATTGTAAGGTTTTCCTCTAAATGTTTGCTACACTTCTGAACTATCCTAAATGTAGACAACTAAGAGATAATACTTCAAATAAACCGTCAAGATAAATAATAGTGAGACTGAAATATTGAAACAAAATGTTTTTTGTTTTTTAAATTCTAAATAACAATATTGTACTTTTGTAGGGTCGCAGGTAGCCTAGTGGTTAAGAGCGTTGGGCCAGTAACCGAAAGGTTTGAATCCCTGAGATGACTGTGAAAAATCTGTCGATGTGCCCTTGAGCAAGGCACTTAACCCTAATTGCTCCTCTGGATAAAAGCATCTGCTAAATGACAAATGTAATCTGGGGACACGTATTTGTAATAGGCACACCAAAATGTAGTCTTATTATTATCTAATGGGTCTATATTCAAATTTAGACTATATTGTCTAATATAATTATTGTATAACCGAAACTTCAATATAAACTTCAACTATCTACACAAAAATGCTATGTTCCATTCTCTATTAAGGGGACTAGTAGAAGAGAGAAACAATAATCAGAATACACCAGTATAGCGTCGTTAATCCTGAGATTGGAGATTAGGGGACCCAAATAATCCCTTTAATAGTAACTATCATAAACCTTCAGATTTACATAGTGCAGAGGAGGGCTGGGATTATGGTTCCTTTGTTTGTATAAAAGAACAAAGGAAACTCGGGGAGGAATGCACACCAAAACATCTGGATTGCAATCAGAGACCAATTCAATTGATTGCCCACATAACGTGTTGCTGTGGGGTATATACTTAAAATATATATAAACGTTTGTCTCGGTTTAGTTTTCGTAGGTTTTGGAAACTAAATCTATGCGATGTGTATGAAAAGGTAATTAAAAGGTAAAGTAATGTTAGCAATACAATTATTGCTCTCACAACACTATAAATGTAATTGATTTATTTCGTGTCTTCCTTTGAGCTTTACCATTATAACATAAAAGTTGCCCTCAAATACTTATACTTTGCAAAAAACCCACAAATTAGGATTACCACAGTGGGTCACTGTTACAAAAGAGCCGCTCGGTCGGCACTTGTAAACAACGTGCCGTCTCCCGCTTCAATAGAATACTGGAGTTGATATAATACTTGTTAGAACATTGATATCCAAACTCAAAGTAATTTAGTAAACAACAACTTACTAATTACAACATACATCTGTCACTGCTTCCCGTGAAACAATATTACTTAAAGTGAATACAAATCTGGATACATGGAGCTTGCAATAAAATAGTCAATGTTTCAAGTAAAACGTCTGCAATATTTGATTATCTAAGCAATGACACGTTTACTGCTGATGTCAAAACAGTGATGTTATGCTGGCTGTCGTTTCTTTGGCTACAGTATTATCTAAGTAATTTTAGTCGACTGACAAAAATACATGTGGAGCGCAAAACCTTACTGAACAGTTTGATCATGGTGGTCTGTAAAAAAAAAAGTAGACGAAGCAAATGGATCAGAAAGTACGTGGTTTTCTGATTCAGGTTTTCAGGCTCCTCCACATTGTGGGCAAGCGCGTGCCACCATCTGCCATGTTTCTTGACACGCAGCAGCACACGATGCTCGCGCAAGCACAAACCTTCAGAATGTGCCTAAACTTGAATCAGTCCTTGTCTTGTGGACACTTTAAAGCACGGTTTGTAATCCACGGTTTCTTGAAGTTTACGCTCTCACACCTCGGCTGGACTCAACACACCAAACGTAGTTTTGAAAATAGCGTGATAGCCACCTAACGTTAGCTGCTGGCTAGCTCCAGTTATTTCGGAGTTTAAAATCCTTTCAAAAGTCGGAAAAAAGGCTTCAGTACCTTCCTTTGGAATTCTCCCCCTTTCAGTTGTTAGTTTCGCTTGACTTGTGGCTATTCTGGATGTCCAAATATTCATTAATCGTATATCTTTTTTTGTTTTGACTCGAGGCGAAGACTCCCTTCTGACGTCTGTTTACCACTGCCAGACAATTTGTACTGCGCTTGCGTGGTGAGGATTGCTGGGAAATGCAGTCAGTCATGTGACTACTTAAAGCACGAGTGTAAACAACGAACGGCTGTCGAGCTATAAAAGAGCAGGATTATGTAACATTTCCTAAAGTGTACACACACCTAAACCAAAGCTGGAAAGTTACCCGACAATGGTCAATCAGATTTCAATTGCCCAAGTAGCCCAGATTTCTAGGCCAGAGATCTATTCAGCTCCGATCTAGTTTTGAAGCACACGCATCCCTCTTTAATTTGACACTCAAACGTTCACCAATTTTTTATTTTTATTTAACTAGGCAAGTCAGTTAAGAACAAATTCTTATTTACAATGACGGCCTACACCGGCCAAACCCGGCCAATTGTGCGCCGCCCTATGGGACTCCCAATCACCGCCGGTTGTGATACAGCCTGGAATCGAACCAGGGGGTCTGTAGTAACGCCTCAAGCACTCAAGCACTGAGATGCAGTGCCTTAGACCGCTGCGCCACTCGGGAGCAATAGTCCCGGTGTGTCGGGTGTACTGTCATAAATATTAGGTTTTAGACTGGTTACTTTAAAATTGGCATTGTTTTACAGTGACATTCAAAAATATGTATTTGTGTCCAGGAAGATCTGTGAAGAAAATTCATTTCAGTATGATAATTTTTTTCAAGAATATTGGTACCAATCTAGAAAATAATAAAAATGCCCTATGTATTCTATGCAAAACGTTTAATTTCAATGTTTAAGATCAGCCTAAATCACCATGGTATGGTGTGTTTATTTAAACAATAATCTGACCGTGTGCACAATAACTACAATTCCTAGTAGTTAGTAGTTACCTCAACTAGCCGGTGCCCCCCGCACATTGACTCTGCACCGGTACCCCCCTGTATATATAGCCTCCCTACTGTTATTTTATTTTACTTCTGCTCTTTTTTTCTCAACACTTTTTTGTTGTTTTATTCTACTTTTTTTGTTTAAAATAAATGCACTGTTGGTTAAGGGCTGTTAGTAAGCATTTCACTGTAATGTCTGCACCTGTTGTATTCGGCGCATGTGGCCAATACATTTTGATTTGATTTGATTTGATTTAGTGTATTTTAGAGTATAACTTTGTTTGGGAGTGTTTAGCGAATGCAGCGCGTGATGTAAGCAGAATAATAATATACAGTAGAGATATACCTATGTACAGCAAAAATATACATCTGGTCTGATTTAAACTCCTATAAGTCTTTATTCTGGAAACATTTGTATTATTATTTTTTACAATAGAATAGGCCGTCCTGTAAATGTGTAAGCCTTTAAAATGATAAACAGTCGTTCTCTTCATTGATAATATTTCAATCCCATTTTGTCAGTATGATTATTGTTTCACACTTGTTTAATTTTGGCACAATTGTTTCATTCTCTTCTGCAATTGGTCAAAGCAAACGCCGGTAAATACTTGGGGAAAGAGGATTGCGTTTCCTCTGTTTCGATTGGCTGCGGAACAAGAACCTTCGCAATTTTATAGTCTCGAGATCAGCCGCAGCTGAAACCGAAAATGTCGGATCCCACGGTTGCAGATACTCGCCGATTAAACTCTAAACCGCAGGATCTCACAGATGCGTATGGCCCCCCAAGCAATTTTCTTGAAATCGACGTTTATGACCCACAAACGATTGGAGTCGGCCGGAACCGATTCACCACCTATGAAGTGCGAATGCGGGTGAGTGTTCTAGGTCGGTACTAGCTTGCAGTATTGAAATCGAGGCCGGTGAAATTGGCAGGGCCTAGTTTAGGTGACGCTAGTATGATGAGGGAACATGGGTGGGACGGTTTTTCGAGAGAGACTCGACTTTTTGCTGTTCAAATGCTTAGCCTTTCACTTCTTTGTCATTTCAAATAATCGTTTCATCCAAATTCCTGATGCAGTCGTTGCTAATATGGCTACCACCAATATCAAATAGCCAGTATGTGAAAGGACTGTCTTGTTAGTTTGGGTAGCAGTGTTTCTGCCAGATAACATACTGACTAGCATGGGATATATGTCTTTTATTCTACTTTGTTGAATTCTGTACGATGTATAGGCTTTTTCTCCAACCCAGAATAAAAGCCTGCACACCCTGGGATTCACCAGGACCAATATTGGAGAATACTGGGCCAGCTAACACTGTAGTTATGAGATAGGCAACCATACATTGGGGTGTTAAACCATCATGGTATTAGAAAGATCTGTTTGTACATGGGCTAGTCTCTTAAATCCCAGATCTAGGACATGCTGGAACAGAGAGAACATGGGCTGAGGGATATACAAAACTTGCACAGTGTGTACTGTATACCCTTACTTACTACTACAAACCTCAATGTATTAATGCAACAATTTCATATACACTCAACTCTGCGTTTCCCTACTCCCTAAAGATGTGGTTGCATTATGAACCATCCATTATCACTAGACACAGCACCACACACCAGTGTCACAAAACTGAACAGTGGTTTTCACAGATTGAGATAAAATGCTGATCAAATTATACATTAGTGAGGGGTTCTGGTGTAAGTTCTGATGTCTGGCCACGTCACTGGACATGTATATGCTGTACTGGAAATGGATTGTAGTGATTTAATATATTTTTTCACATGCAGACAAATCTTCCCATCTTCAAACTTAAGGACTCTGTTGTGCGAAGAAGGTACAGTGATTTTGAGTGGCTGAAGAATGAGCTGGAGAGAGACAGTAAGGTAGGTTCACACACTGCATAACTACTTGCCTGTATGTCTGACCAGTATAATACTAATCAAAACAGAAATGTTTAATACATTTTTGTAGTTGGAATTAGTGTCTGTTTCTATGTGACTAAGTAACTAATTTACTGATAAGTTGTGTGCTTTCTAAAGATTGTGGTGCCCCCTCTCCCTGGGAAAGCTTTAAAGAGACAGCTTCCCTTCCGAGGAGATGAGGGTATCTTTGAGGAGTCCTTCATTGAAGAACGGAGGGTAGGCTTGGAGCAGTTCATCAACAGGTGTGTATCGTTTCTGTCTATAGTATTTCTCTCTGTATGGCTGTGTCTCCATTTCAGGTCATTATCAAATTAACTCCCAGCCATCTGCCTTTGACGCCACTAATAATCAATTATGATTTCTAGGTAACTGAAACCTGCTTCTCTCTCCTCTATCACCAGACTTGCAGGTCATCCCCTTGCCCAGAATGAGCGCTGTCTTCACATGTTCCTTCAGGATGAGTCCATTGACCGGAACTACATTCCTGGAAAAGTACGCAAGTAGGATTGGCATGGTTGGGGTTCCGACTGGGTGGGTGTGGTGAAGATGCCGGTGGCAGTAGGTAGGATGGGCTGGCTGCTCCATAGCGGTTTCCATCCATCTCTCCCAGGAAGGGAATAGTATTTTATTTTTACACCAACAAATATAAATATTGTGTGTGTACAGTGCATTCGGAAAGAATTCAGACCCCTTGACTTTTTCCACATTTTGTTACGTTAAAGCATTATTCTAAAATTGATTAAATCAAAAATGTTATTCATTAATCTACACACAATAGCCCAAAATGACAAAGCGAAAACAGGTTTTTAGACATTTTTGCAAATTTATTAAAAATACCTTATTGACATAAATATTCAGACCCTTTGCGATGAGACTCGAAATTGAGCTCAGGTGCATCCTGTTTCCATTGATTATCATTGAGATGTTTCTACAACTTGATTGGAGTCCACCTGTGGTAAATTCAATTGATTGGACATGATTTGGAAAGGCACACACCTGTCTATATAAGGTCCCACAGTTGACAGTGCATGTCAGAGCGAAAGCCATGAGGTCGAAGGAATTATCCGTAGACCTCCGAGACAGGATTGTGTCGAGGCACAGATTTACATTTACGTCATTTAGCAGACGCTCTTATCCAGAGCGACTTACAAATTGGTGCATTCAACTTATGATAGCCAGTGGGACAACCACTTTTTTTTAGGGGGGGGGGTGGGGGAGGGGGGGGTAGAAAGATTACCTTTATACTATTCCAGGTATTCCTTAAAGAGGTAGGGTTTCAAGTGTCTCCTGAAGGTGGTCAGTGACTCCGCTGTCCTGGCGTCATGGGGGAGCTTGTTCCACCATTGGGGTGTCAGAGCAGCGAATAGCTTTGACTGGGCTGAGCAGGAACTGTGCTTCTGTAGAGGTAGGGGGGCTAGCAGGCCAGAGGTGGATGAACGTAGTGCCCTCATTTGGGTGTAGGGTCTGATCAGAGCCTGAAGGTAAGGAGGTGCCGTTCCCCTCACAGCTCCGTAAGCAAGCACCATGGTCTTGTAGTAGATGCGAGCCTCAACTGGAAGCAAGTGGAGTGTGCGGAGGAGCGGGGTGACATGAGAGAACTTGGGAAGGTTGAACACCAGATGGGCTGTAGCGTTCTGGAATAAGTTGTAGGGGTTTAATGGCACAGGCAGGGAGCCCAGCCAACAGCGAGTTGCAGTAATCCAGAAGGGAGATGACAAGTGCCTGGATTAGGACCTGTGCCGCTTTCTGTGTAAGGTAGGGTCGTACTCTGTGAATGTTGTAGAGCATGAACCTGCAGTATCGGGTCACCACTTTGATGTTAGCGGAGAACGACAGGGTGTTGTCCAGGGTCACGCCAAGGTTCTTTGCACTCTGGGAGGAGGACACACTGGATTTGTCAACCGTGATGGCAAGATCATGGAGCAGGCAGTCCTTCCCCGGGAGGAAGAGCCGCTCCGTCTTGCCGAGGTTCAGCTTGAGGTGGTGATCCGACATCCACACTGATATGTCTGCCAGACATGCAGAGATGCGATTCGCCACCTGGTTATCAGAAGGGGGAAAGGAGAAAATATATTGTGTGTCGTCTGCATAGCAATGATAGGAGAGACCATGTGAGGATATGACAGATCCAAGTGACTTGGTGTATAGAGAGAATAGGAGCGGGCCTAGAACTGAGCCCTGGGGGACACCAGTGGTGAGAGCACGTGGTGCGGAGACAGATTCTCGCCATGCCACCTGGTAGGAGCGACCTGTCAGGTAGGACGCAATCCAAGAGTGAGCAGCGCCGGAGATGCCCAACTCGGAGAGGGTGGAGAGGAGGATCTGATGGTTCACAGTATCAAAGGCAGCAGATATGTCTAGAAAGATAAGAGCAGAGGAGAGAGAGTTAGCTTTAGCAGTGCGGAGAGCCTCCGTGACAAAGAGAAGAGCAGTCTCAGTTGAATGACCAGTCTTGAAACCTGACTGGTTTGGATCAAGAAGGTCATTCTGAAAAAGATCGCAGGAGAGTTTGCTAGAGACGGCACGCTCAAGAGTTTTGGAGAGAAAAGAAAGAAGGGATACTGGTCTGTAGTTGTTGACATCGGAGGGTTCGAGTGTAGGTTTTTTGAGGAGGGGTGCAACTCTCGCTCTCTTGAAGACGGAAGGGACATGGCCAGCGGTCAAGGATGAGTTGATGAGCGAGGTGAGGTAAGGGAGAAGGTCTCCGGAAATGGTCTGGAGAAGAGAGGAGGGGATAGGGTCAATCGGGCAGGTTGTTGGGCGGCTGGCCGTCACAAGTCGCAAAATTTCACCTGGAGAGAGAGGGGAGAAAGAAGTCAAAGCATAGGGTAGAGCAGTGTGAGCAGGACCAGCTGTGTCATTTGACTTAATAAATGAGGATCGGATGTCGTCAACCTTATTTTCAAAATGGTTGACGAAGTCATCCACAGAGAGGGAGGAGGAGGATTAAGCAGGGAGGAGAAGGTGGTAAAGAGCTTCCTAGGGTTAGAGGCAGAGGCTTGACATTTAGAGTGGTAGAAAGTGGCTTTAGCAGCAGAAACAGAGGAAGAGAATGTAGAGAGGAGGGAGTGAAAAGATGACAGGTCCGCAGGGAGTCTAGTTTTCCTCCATTTCCGCTCGGCTGCCCGGAGCCCTGTTCTGTGAGCTCGCAATGAGTCGTCAAGCCACGGAGCAGGAGGGGAGGACCGAGCCGGCCGGGAGGATAGGGGACATAGAGAGTCAAAAGATGCAGAAAGGCAGGAGAGGAGGGTTGAGTAGGCAGAATCAGGAGATCGGAGGGAGAAGGATTTAGCAGAGGGAAGAGATGATAGGATGGAAGAGGAGAGAGTAGCGGGAGAGAGAGAGCGAAGGTTGCGACGGCACATTACCATCTGTCGAGGGGCAGAGTGAGCAGTGTTGGAGGAGAGCGAGAGAGAAAAGGATACAAAGTAGTGGTCGGAGACTTGGTGGGGAGTTGCAGTGAGATTAGTAGAAGAACAGCATCTAGTAAAGATGAGGTCAAGCGTATTGCCTGCCTTGTGAGTAGGGGGGAACGGTGAGAGGGTGTGGTCAAAAGAGGAAAGGAGTGGAAAGATCTGGGGAAGGGTACCAAAACATTTCTGCAGCATTGAAGGTCCCCAAGAACACAGTGGCCTCCATCATTCTTCAATGGAAGAAGTTTGGAACCACCAAGACTTTTCCTAGAGCTGGCCGCCCGGCCAAACTGCGCAATCAGGGGAGAAGGGCCTTGGTCAGGGAGGTGACCAAAAACCCGATGGTCACTCTGACAGAGCTCCAGAGTTTCTCTGTGGAGATCGGAGAACCTTCCAGAAGGACAACCATCTCTGCAACGCTCCACTTATCAGGCCTTTATGGTAGAGTGGCCAGATGGAAGCCACTCCTCAGTAAAAGGCACATGACAGCCTGCTTGGAGTTTGCCAAGAGGCACCTAAAAGGACTCAGACCATGAAAAACAAGATGAAACCAAGATTTAACTCTTTGGCCTGAATGCCAAGCGTCACGTCTGGAGGAAACCTGGCACCATCCCTACGGTGAAGGTTGGGGGTGGCAGCATCATGCTGTGGGAATGATATTCAGCGGCAGGGACTGGGATACTAGTCAGGATCAAGGGAAAGATGAACGGAGCAAAGTACAGAGAGCTCCTTGATGAAAACCTGCTCAGGACCTCAGACTGGGGTGAAGGTTCACCTTCCAACAGGACAACAACACTAAGCACACAGCTAAGACAACGCAGAAGTGGCTTCGGAACAAGTCTCTGAATGTCCTTGAGTGGCCCAGCCAGAGCCCGCACTTGAACCTGATCGAACATCTCTGGAGAGACCTGAAAATAGATGTGCAGCAACGCTCCCCATCCAACCTGACAGAGCTTGAGAGGATCTGCAGAGAAGAATGGGAGAAACTCCCCAAATACAGGTGTGCCATGCCCAAGAAGACTCAAGGCTGTAATCGCTGCCAAAGGTGCTTCAACAAAGTACTGAGTAAAGCGTCAGAATACTTATGTAAAAGTGATATTTCAGTTGTATTTTTTTAAAATAAATTTGCTAAAATTTATATAAACCTGTTTTTGCTTTGTCATTATGGGGTATTGTGTGTAGAATGATGAAGAAAAAAAACAATTTTATCCATTTTAGAAATAAGGCTGTAACGTAACAATGTGGAAAAAGTCAAGGGGTCTGAATACTTCTGAATGCTGTGTGTTTGTACATACATACATACACATACATACACTACCAGTCAAAAGTTAGGTTTTCACTTTCTTTTTTCTTACTTTTTTACATACAAAACTATGAAATAACACATATGGAATCATATAGTAACCCAAAAAGTGTTAAACAAATCAAAATAGATTTGAGATTCTTCAAATAGCCACCCTTTGCCTTGATGACAGCTTTGCACACTCTTGGCATTCTCTCAACCAGCTTCATGAGGTAGTCACCTGGAATGCATTTCAATTAACAGGTGTGCCTTCTTAAAAGTTAATTTGTGGAATTTCTTTCCTCCTTCATGCATTTGAGCCAATCAGTTGTGTTGTGACAAGGTATACAGAAGATAGCCCTTTTTGGTAAAAGACAAAGTCCATATTAAGGCAAGAACATCTCAAATAAGCAAATAGAAACGACAGTCCATCATTATTTTAAGACATGAAGGAAAGTCAATATGGAATATTTCAAGAACAGTGCAGTCGCAAAAACCATCAAGCGCTATGATGAAACTGGCTCTCATGAGGACTGCCACAGGAATGGAAGACCCAGAGTTACCTCTGCTGCAGAGGATAAGTTCATTAGTTACCAGCCTCAGAAATTGCAGCCCAAATAAATGCTTCACAGAGTTCAAGTCAGACACATCTCAACATCAACTGTTCAGAGCTGGTCCTCACTACATATTCGTCGCCAAACCCACTGGCTCCAGGCCATCTATAAATCACTGCTAGGCAAATCCCCGCCTTATCTTAGCTCATTGGTCACCATAGCAACACCCACCCCTTAGTATGCGCTCCAGCAGGTATATCTCACTGGTCATCCC